AATTAGGGTTAAGTTGTTGCTACAGCACTTGAAAGAAGAAGAAGAAGAAGGGGTGGCTGTTGAGCAGCCTACGAATTTCCGAAAAAAGAAAAAAAAAAAAAAGAAACGAAGTGGGGGTGGGTGATGGTGGAGGGAAGAAGAAGAAGAAGAAGAATTAGGGTTAAGTTGTTGCTACAGCACTTGAATCGAGAAGAAGAAGAAGAAGAAGAAGAAGAAGAAAGAAAATGGGGTGTTTGATGAGTGCCCTGCGAATTTCCAAAAAAAAAAAAAAAACAAGTGGGGGTGGGTGATGCTGTGAAGAAGAAGAAGAAGAAGAAGAAGAAGAAGCTGCCTTTCTATCACTGCTTCTGTAGTGCAGTTACACACACACACACTGACCGGAGAAGGCTGAAAGCTGCAGCCTTTCTTGAATGGTGGAGCTCACTCTCTCTCTCTCTGCAAGTTTCTTGCTTCCACCTCATCCCCTCCACGCTGCATGTCTCCCTCCCAAGCACAGCAGCTCACACTCACGGCTGCCCAGACTAACGGCTGCCCACAATGCCACCGCGAGAGAGTGAGAACACAGTGGGCAGCCACAGTCTTAATAGCCTGGTCGACGGTGGGAACGTCGGTGCCCCGACATGTCGGCGGCCTTCCAAGCCGCGTGGCGAACGGCCGACCACCCCCCGACCGGCCCAGACCCCAAAAACGGGGCCTTCTCAGTTCGGGCCGCCACCGCAGAAAAGTGTGGCACCCCGACTGCAGCCGACATGTCGGCGCCGACCGACCGACCGGTCGGCGGGTCGGCGGCCGACGGATCGGGGGGGGCCTACGGTCGGCACGTGCAACACTGGGTCTTCAGAAAAAAAGGGTGGAAAGGAAAACGATGCATGGTCCTTCAAGACATCCATTAACATTGGAATGATACAGAGAAGGAAGATTAACATGGCCCCTGCTCAAGGATGACATGCATAAATCAAGAAATGGTCCAAATCTTCACAAAAAAGAAAAAAGAAGTATGGGCATAAAAGCTTGCATAAACAGGCAATCTTTCCATCAGAGGTGGACCCTCTGGACGAGTGGGATATATCGACAGTGGGTGATGGAGAAAGGATGGCTTTTCTGGGAGCTAACCTGACACCGAGCTATGGTGGCATTGAACAGATGGCACGAAGTGCCCACCGGGGCGATAGCCCGACTTAAAACATGGAGCGCGAGGGGAAGTATGGGCGTTTTTGGCAAGGCCATCGCCATTAAAAACTCGATACTCGCTACCCCATGGTACACGGGCGCAGTCCATATGCCAGGCAAGCATACCTTTCGGTACATCAAGAAGGCAATCCACACACACGTGGTCAAGGGATGTGGAGGCAGCGGATTCTATCTGCAAGGGTGGCTTGGAATAAGCTCATTGAACCGAAGCGGTTCTGCAGTCTGGGACTCCTAGATCCACGCCTGCAGATTATCGCGCTGCAGCTAAGGCAGCTGCTTTGGCATCTGCTGGGTACGGTGGGAGGTGCTTGGCGAGAGGTCACTAAGATACATTTGGCCTATACACTCCAGGTTGTGGACTTGTACTTGCTATGTACTGACACGGTAAGCCACATACGCAGGACCACGGTATGGTCAACCAAGGTGGCACTGCGGAAGAAAGTTCAAGTGAGATGCCGCTTGCCAGAAACTGCAGACGCAGCCTATAACCAATTGCTTTTTGGCAACAGGTTTGTCTGCGATGCCATGGGAGATCCTCTGCCATGGCACAGCCCGAGAGGAGCCTATGGGTGGAAATGGGCCGAGCAGGGGATTTATAAAGTCGGTCATTTATGGGACAAAGTGCACAAGGATTGGCGGCAGGAAGATGAGCTGTTGCACTACCTGCAGGGTCGGATGAAGATCCGGCAAAGAGTGAGGGAAGCGCGGGAGGCCACTCCCCCGCAGTGGATAGAGTTGTTAAGAACTAACTCCGGGGGAATGGGTGAAAATAAGAGGAGAGGTCAGGCCGGATAGAGTTTATAGGGTGGAGCAGGTGCTGCCAGATGGGAAGCTGCAAGTGAATGAATGGCAGGTGAACACGGGATACGAGGGTCTGGAGGACCCCCTGCAACAGATTATGAGAGGGAGAGCAACTACCTGGAAAAGGTTGGACAGAAGCATGTCTGAAACGGTGGCAATAAGCGAAGGAATGAAGGAGGGGGAGAGGAGATACTTGCCGTTCCGAATAGCGGACAGACGAAGGGATCTGGTTTGGGACCCCGGGGAATGGGAGTGACCGGCACAAAGGATGCAGAGAAAAGGCGTGGCGCTTCAGAGTCTCACCTCTAAAAACATATACAACTCCTTGATGGAACCAATGGATATTTGTGGGAGAGTTGAGGGATCGATGAGCAAAAAGGGATTGGATCCCCGATGCATATTTTAATAGGTGGATGCAGAGGAGATGGAACGAGCAACGTGCCATCATGGCAGCCTTGCCGGATCAGAAGCACGCGGGGCTACTATGGCAACTGTACCACTTGGCGATCCCCACAGCTCAAAGGTTGGCAAGTAAGAGTCGACACAAGGACCAGAATTGTGCGGCGGCTTGTGGACAAGTGGAGGATATCCCCCATCTCTTTGTGACATGCCCGACTGTTCGGGCTTTTTGGGAATGGTGGGCGCAGTAGGTGACAGATAAAACCCCGATGGATGTCGCAGAAACGGATGACACAGCCATCCTCTGGGGGGCATTAATAAAAGTGGATAGAGCGGAGCCAGAGAAGTTGATGGCTGCCAAAATTGTACGTGCAGCAGTACTATGGGCAATATGGACCCTGCGAAATGAGCGATGTTGACAGGGAGCCTCCCCTCTGCTGCAGGCATAACAGGGAAGGGCCTTGGAGACCATTAGAGTGGCTCTCCTGGCGGACCTGCATAGATGCAGAAGCACAGGGGGACAAAAGGAGGAAAGATTTTGGGCAAGACGGGCCTCGTATCCGCAACTGCGTACTCGTAACTCGTGTACAGGGCACATGAGCTTTGGCCCGATCAGACCGATCCTGATGCACCAAGTCCCCGAGGTTGGAATGGATGAAGAACAGTGATAGGGAAGGTTATGCAAAGCAACCGTTTTTGTACTATAGTTTGGAAGGGAGTTAGAAAAGACTTGAGTAGGAGATCGATACGTGTACTATAGTAGGTTAAGGGTGATGATAGGGGGAGGAATAGGCGGGATGATGCGAGCCTAATTAGGGGGATGGGGGAGAGGAATAGGAGGGGAAGGGTAAGGTCGGTGAGATTTGGTATAAGAACACAATGGAGTAGATGGCTAAGGATTACAACATAGTCGCACATGCTGGGGAGGACACAGGAGAGATAGGCGTAAAGATCTTAGGTAGAACAAGCAGGAGCAGCCAGCGCAGCTTGCGCCCGCGAACACCGTCAGGAAGCA